GCTGGGCTTGCAGATGTGAGAGTGGGATGTAGTCGTGGCTAATGGAGCTCTGCAGCTGTGCAGGGAAAGGTTTTACCCAGGGTGGGTCAGTAGGGAAGGGTTTGCTCTGAGGTCACTTGCCTCAGAGCCTGGAGGCCGCTTGCTCCCAGAGTGAATTCAGTTTGGGGTGCTCAGACTTTGCCCTCCATGGACATTGCGGAGGGGTGTTGAGCAGCGTTGAAGTAAGAGAGGTTCCGGGCTCGGCAGCCAGCACCAGGGAGATGGGATTTACTCTGTGGTGAGCAGGAGGAAGGGAGGCTGTGCTCCCCTGAACCAAATGAGTTACTCCTGGTCTCTTTGCACATTCCAATAGAAGAGGATGTGCGTGAGGGAGACCCTGGAGTCCGGCGCTGGATCCTACCGGGAGGTGCCACATCGGACGGGAAGGTAACGTAGCGCTCAGCCAGCCAGTGCCTGCTTGTCAATGCCAGCCAGGAAGAAAGCAGTCACCTTCCCAGCTGACCCGGTGCCCAAGGCCTGCTCTCCACCAGAGCCGGGCTATTCCAGGCCCGTGAGACATGGCTGCTGGGTCACCCAGCGGTGGGGAAGCCCCTTTGTTGTGTCCATCAGCATCCCCGCTGCCTCGTTCCACTGCCGTGCTGGCGGCAGCGCTGAGCGGCACCATCCCCGCCCTGCCCCAGGCCGGGTTGGAGCTTGAAGGGCTCAGACGGCTGCAGCGGTGACGTTGCCGTGTGGCACTGGCATGTCCTGTCCCAGCCTGGCGCTGACCCTGACTGGCTCTCTCCCACTCGCACAGGGAACGGGAATCGCGGCGACGGGAAGAGAGCACCCCGGGGACAGCGAACAAGGCCGTGCAGACCAAGGAAGGTGAGTGTAGGTGGGGCCCAGCTCTGTGCCGGATTGGATGGGCCACCGATGCGGGCCTGCTCCGATGCCAGGCGGAGCTCATGCCAACACTTCCTCAGCTGAAAGAGAGAGGAAACCGCGCGTGCCCATTGCGGAGAGGGCCCCGTGGCACAGCGCGCGATGTGGCCATGTGCGGCACCTTGTGTGGTTTGTGGTTCGGGAGGGCGGCGTGCAAGGAGCGTCCGTGGTGGTGGGAAGGGGCCGCTGGCCCGTGGAGCCCCAGCAGGCTCTTGTGAGAGCTTCCCCACGGATCTCTTGTGGCCAAGCTGCTGCCCCGGGGCATCGCAGCCCTGTGCTCAGCTTAAGGCCGTGTCCCTGGCTCTGCCCTCCGGGATGGGCATCCAGAGAGCAGTGAGAAGGGACAACCCCCTTGGTGCAGGCCAAACGCCTCTGCTGGGAGCTGCTCCTGACTTGTCTCCTCCTGTAGCTGTCGAGAGGACTGAGGAAGAGCGGCAGCAGTCCCCGAGCCCACCACCTTCGCTGGGGAAAGGAAGGCCACGCAGGAGGAGCATCTGCCTGCTGGTGCCTGGCGAGATCCACCCACTGGTGCTGGTAGGTCGCTGTCTCGCAGCCTCTTTTGCCCTCCTCTGGGCTACAATATGCTCAGTGCAGTTCCTGCAGGGCGGGGGGCAGGCTGACGTGCCTGCCTTGGGGCAGGAGGTCTCGGCCTTGGCTGGGTGGGAAGTGAGGCTCTCCCCTGCCCCAGTGTGTGGTGACCGTGCGTGACTGCTGCCGCTGCTGGCGCAGGTACTGGCCTGGGCAAGGTTGCCGTGGCCTCAGCCCCAAGCCGATGCCAAAATGAATGGGGTCCAGAGCTCTGCGCGGGCTGTGGCAGAACCACGGCTTCATGGCTCTGGCGCAGGCCTGCTTCCACACCTCCTTCAGAGCGGCTCTGCCGGCTGCCCTGAGAAGGAACTAAGCTACTGCTCTCTCTTGGCAGTTCCCGGAGCTTAACCCACAATACTCCGGCACCGGGATGACCCTGGAGGAGGAGGGGGAGGCAGCGTGGCAGCTGTCTCGATGGCTCTTGGGACTTAAGGCTGGTAAGGGCAGACTGGGAACGCGAAGGGCACGGCAAGGGGGAGAAAGCCATGGCCTGGGCTGGCAGGGCAGCGGGAAGCTGCTGGGCCAGTGCCGCCTGGTCCTCGGCTCTGATGCTCTTAGAGACTCGTGAAGAGCCCGGAGGGAGACCTCGTGTCCTGCAGTCCCCAGGGTGATGGGCGAGGTTGCCCAGGGCCGGAGCTGCGAGCTGTTCATACAGGGAGGGTTTCATAAGGGGTAGTCCCATGCGGCAGAGCCCTGCCGTGCAAAGGGAAGGTGCTTCCATCACTCGCTGCCCCAGTCCCCAGCCCTGGGGGGTGGAGGGGAATCTGAAATGCCGCTCCTTGCCCTCTCTGGATGCACTGGATGCATCGGCTCCTGCGGGTGCTGCAAGCTCCCTAAAGCCAGGCTCTTCCTGCTCTGCCGACCCCGGCTCACGGCGGTGTGTTGCTTTCCAGGGACTCCTGCGCCCTTCTCTGGCCAGCACCCCTCAGGCCTTGGACGAGACGCTGCTTCCTCTGGTAAGGATGGAGTTGGTGCTTCAGGCTTGAGGAGCTGATGGGTCGTGTTGCTCCCTTGGGCTGGGGGATGGCGGAAGGGTCAGGCTGTGCCCTAGGAGCCAGCCCGGGTGGTAGCTACTGGGCTCCAGGGATGCAAAACCTTCCATTCCCCCAGGGATAGGGATGGTGGCAGGCCCGGTGCAGCCCAGAGTGCGGCTGCAGAGACCTGAGCAACATTTGTGCTTCTCTAGGTTCGTCCACCCGCGCAAGATGGAAGGACAGAGCCTGCAAGCGGCACAAGGCATGGATCCATCATTTCTGCAATAAGTAACGGCCAGTGCCGCTGGCCCCCAACCGTGGGGCTCCGGTCCAGAGCAGCCCTGAGGCGGCCCCGGAGTGACAGGGCCAGGCCCCGTTTCTGCTACGGCTAGCAAGAAGCCGTGCTGGGTGGCAGCGCCTGGCGTGGGACAGGGGAGCCCTTCCTGCTGGAAGAGTGCCCCAGCCAGGGCTCATGAGCCTCTGGGCATCTGTGCAGCGTTTCCATCCTGGCTCTATTTTGCCACGTTCCCTAAGGTGTAACCTTTTGCTCCAGCCCTGGCAGTCTCTCCCCTCCCTTCTTATGCCCTTTCCCATGTTGGGGTGCTCTGGAGCCACTGAGGAGTCCAGAGCTGACTGGGCTCCTCCCCCTCCCCAAATCCCAAATGTTTTTCATTTGTGGCTCATCCCCACCCGTTTGGGATTTACCAGCTCCCAGGAGCTGCGGTGCTGTCTCCCCTGACGCCGTTCAGCGGGAGCGGGGCAGAGGCTGCTGGAGCCAGGGGTCCCCTGAGAGCTGCTTTCCCCTGCCCCGGGGGTCCTCACCACCCCCAGGACGGCTTTGCTGCTGGGTCTTGTACTCGCTGAGCCTTGTGTGTGTTGGGTGCAGTCGAAATTACCCAAAACCCCACAAATACTGAAACGTTCTTTAATGAAATCACACTTTGTTTTTATATTGGAGCTGTTACAGCACCTCCTGCCTTCTAAACTGCAATGTACATGGCTGTGACTAAACCTGTTCTCTTTGGGTTTTTTTCTTCCCGAAGGAGGAGGACCACAGAGATGCCGAGTGGCCTTTTGGACAACCAGCGTCAAAACAGCGCCATCACTGATCATTTTTGAAGACTGTTCTTGTTCTCTCTTTGTTCTACAGTTGTTCTAATATTCTTGTTTAATATACTGTTCTTGTTCTTATACTCTAGTTGTTTTGGTTTTTTATTGTAGCTTTGTGTTGTTATACTGTTGTTCTGTTGTTGTAACAATAGTAAACTAGTATTTTTACCATAATTTTACTATCATTTTCTCATTTTTTTACTGTCAATATATAATTTCCACCCCTCCTACTACATCCCCCACCCCCTGTTTTTATGTCCCCCACTTAAAATAAACAGACTATGTTCACATCTGCCTTCCCTGTGTTTGATTTCTGGGCCAGGGCACAGGTGCCGCTTTCCAGCACCCTCTGCTTGAGCCATCCCTAAGTGTCCCCTCCGCCTGAAGATGCTCCCCATGGTGCTGCTGTACCCAGTCTGCAGAAGGTCAAGGACAGAGAAGTGCCTTGGCAACGGCGACCACAGGAGTCCTTACGCCTTGAGCAGAGGTGGATGGGCTGAACAAAGCACCTATGGTGCTCGCCAAGCAAAGGGATGGCAGTGGCATCCTCTGTATGGGTGGGAGAGGGCAGGTGGGGAAGCTGGCTGGGGGCAAGGTACAAGCAGGATGGGGCAGCCGCAGGCTGCACATGCCAGAGCTCCTGCCCTTGCCTGACCTTTTCCTTTCAGTCACCTGAAATAGTTCAGGGGATGGTTCCCCTGATGGTGCACCTGGGCTGTCCCCATGGCGATGGCTGTGTCCCCCTTCTTCTCCCATCCCTGCCATCATTAGGTGTGTGCTTGTGGCTTCTGCAGCCTATTGGCTCATTTTGCCACGTCAGGTGATGCCACCTTGGGCCGGCACTGCCACCCCTGCTTTCACCTGCTCCTTTGGTCCCCAGATAAATCTGGGCTGGGGACGTCCACTCTGGCCAACAGCCTCTTCCTAACAGACCTGTGCAGAGGCCACAAGCTGCTGAACGCTGAAGGTGAGGAGGGATTGTACAGCAAAGTGACATTTCAGATGGATAATGCAGGAAAGAGCCTGTGCCCATCCTGCAGCCCCACAGGCTGGCTCTGCTCTTCCTGGCCAGAATGCACGGCTGCACAGCCCCCTCATGTCCTGCCTCTGCTGACACCCGCTGATGATTCTGTGGCCCTAAACCTACAGGGAATACCACTTGGGGTTCATTCTCTCTTGCCCTCTGTGAACTGCTGCTCAGGGTCCTGCTGGGGCTGGAAGGAGGCAGAGGAGCATCAGGTACCTGGTTTCTACGTGGCTGCGCAGTCCCTGTGATGCAGACATCCATGCAGTAGGTCATCATCTCTTTCAGTTTCTGTTCTTACTCCAGGCTATTCTCTGGGCACTTCACCTGAAAGATCACAGTACATCATTTCTTAACAGGAGCCGGGAGCTGGAAGCTAAATCCATTCTAACATGGGAAAGAAGTGATTCAAAAAACTTCCTTTTTTTGACCAAATGAACCCTTGCATGCACTCCCAGGGTCTTTTGAAGCAGTTCCATGGTTAGGGTGATGACATTACTGCTTTCAAGGGATGTAGTGACAGATGAGCCTGAAAGAACACAAGTTTCAAGAAAAGAACCAAGTGCTGTACCTTAGGTCATTGTATTTGAGAGCTGTGAACAACAGCAGCAATGTCAGAGAAGGCAGGTTCCAGATTTCTTTATGCTGTTTGGAAACAGAGAGGAAAAGCCCCTCACCTAAGTGCTGTGGCCCTCACCTAGAGCTCTTCTGCCCCAGAGGCAGTGTGTTCGCTCACTCCTTCTGGCTGTGCTTCCCTCCCAGGTCAGCTTGCTGCCCAGGGCCTGGCCAGCAGTGCCCATGGTTACATTAACACCCCTGTGAAGTACTGCCCTGCCCAAGTCTAGTCTCATACCTGTGCAGCATACATATTACATATTTGCTGACAGCTACCCATCCCTTTGAAAGGGAAAACCAGGGCTGTTGCCACAGATGTGGCAGGTTTGAAGGCAGTTGATGCAGAAAATGCCATGCTGTACACCATGCTTCCCACCCTGTTTCCTTCTTCTCCCTTTTCCCAGTTCAGGTCCCCTCCCTCACCCATCACACCTCCTGTGCTGTCCTTAATCATTTCATCCACCACAGTCACCCCTCACCCCTCCTGTACCTGCTCACTTCTGAGCTCCCCACACAGGGAAGGAAGAGGATTTTACATGCAAGTGGTCTGGTGCATCTGCTTCTTCATGGGCATCCTGCTGGGAAAACCACTGGATGTTTGCCATCACAGTGCTACTGTGGCACCCAAAGTGCCTTCAGCCTCTGCCTTGCTTCTCTTCCTCCAAGTTCTGTTAAGGGTCCGGAAGAAGCCTGATGCTTGTTGAGCTGCTGGAGGAAACAAGCCCACCCTGACCTTCCATGGAGGGGGCGGCTACTGCCCATCTCTCCCCAGCCTATGATGAGGGGAAAGCAGGACACATGCCACAGTACTGTTGACCTTGTCCATTGAGTCCCAGACTGCTCCTGGTCCTCCAGCAGCAGCAAGATGATGTTTTACAGCCATCTTCATCCTTTTCTCACAGCTGCACGTTGCTGCCTAGCTCCTCTGATGCTGCAGCCACCTTATCTACCCCACCGTAAAGCATTTCCAGCAGCCACAGGGCATGCTAGCTTATCAAACTGCATCTCTTTAAAGATACTTTGTGCTCAGCCATACCCCATCTGTGCTACATGGCCTGCTTTAAAACTCTCTGCTCATTTCCTCCCTCCTCCCACCAGTCTCTAATCTGCCTGGAGCACTTCTGAGCCCCGATGCTGGGAACTGCATTTGGGCCACATCTCCAGCTCTAAGGGTGGTGTTAGCCACAGCCCTTTCATGCAGCAGAGCACACCAGCCCGGTTTGCCTGCCTTGTACTCGAGCATGGAGGCTGCTGCTGGCATTGCAGACCAGGGTTGATGAAAGCAATCTGGGCATCAGCCATGCCAGCAAAGACATCTGCCTGTCGCAGTTAATGAGCATAACAATGTGGCAGCTTCAGCCTTTGATATAAGCTATTTCCTTGCTGCTACTTACTGTAGTTGGAACAGTACTGGCTTTCCAACTACAAATTTCCTCTATAATACCTGTACTTGCTGACTATGCACCATATATCCTCCAGCCCCACAGGGAAGTGACAACAGAACAGCTCAAAACAGTGAATCCACAAATGGAAATCTTGGGGCACTAGAATGAAGTGCCCCACAGGGTCAGCATGGGAAACATTACAGAGTTGTTGAAATGCATGTGATAGCTGTATCTCCTTTGGCTTCATGGTCCTTGACTCTGAGCGTCTTCTGACTTGTAAATACCTAAAATATTCTTCCAGGGAATGCAAATCCATATTCTGCTCATTTAAACCTACAGACAACTAACTTCCTTGGTGACAACTTACAAATAGTTCCCTAAAAGTGTCCTGTCACCTTCTAGTGTCTGCAGACCACACTCTGAAACCACTGTCTAGGCACCAGCCAAACAACACAGGAAACAGCCATTCCCATCACAGAAAACACTCCTCATCCGAACATTAGATCTAACTGCTTTGTGTCAATACCTTGGCACAGGACCCAGCATGATGGAAGCTCAGCAGAAAAATGGATGAAACCATTCATGTCTGTCAGTTGATCGTTTATGTCCCAGTTTTCTTTGATGTATTATTTAATGCTCTGACATTAATGGTCTTTCAGTGCAAGCAGAGCGCATGTGACCAACTTAATCCCAGCACACACTGCTTGGTCCTCGTTCTGCCTTTTAAAGTCTCTTTTCAAAGAGAGCAAAAGAAACCAGACACAAATTGTGCCTGAACTTAAAAATCATCCATTGCTTAAGGTGGTGCATGAGCGTTGTCACCCTTGTAGCTGTCAGCAAATACACTCCTATTAACTACCCTTGGAAAGCAAATGGCTTAGGGTTCCTGTTAGCCTATTCTCCTTCATGGTGTGCTGTCAGTGCTCATGACAGGCATCACTTACGTGTCCAGGCAAGAGGTGTTCAGCAAGGAAGACATCTTCTGCTTTCAGAAATAGCACAGAGGGCCTTCAAAAATGCTCTTTCCTGTAGGATCCCCTTCTGGGCTTCTGCATCTCACTGGTTATAATGAATGCCTATTCCAAACAGATTATCATGAAAATGTTCATTACTCTGAAGAGAGATGAAGGTTGAGTCATATCAACCTGTTCTCCTACTGTTAATCCAGGAAGAAAACTACTTACTTGTTCTGCAACTCCTGTCATGTTCATGGTTTCTGCCAGTTGACATGGGGCACCTTGTCCAATTTCCAGTGAGCTCCAATGAAGTTGTCTACTCTGAAATACAAAACGGTAATGCGTTTGTGTCTGTGGCCTCCTGGGTAGGCCTCGTAGGATGGCAAATAAAAACTGCCGCGGAGATAAAATTTGCTATTCTTTTATAACCAAAGAATTTCAGAGCAATTTCTTCTTCCCCAAGCTCAGAGTTTTCAAATCCAGGAAGGATCATAGACAAGGCACTCTATTAAATAAACTAAACAGCTTCCATGGTGTCAGCCCAGCCAGCAGCTAAGCACCACACAGCCACCCGCTACTCCCTGTGGATGCCCAAACCAGTGCAAATGTGCTAAAGCATTTATAGTTGGCATTCCTACATGAAGCCAAGCTTGCTGCATATAGAGCATATGAAGTGTTTTTCTCTTGTAGGAAGCAAACTGAGCCTCCCACTGTTCATGTTCTACATTAAAAGCATTAAGTGTTTCTTTTTCTCATTGTAAAATAGAAATTTGTTGACTTCACAGTCCCAGTCATGATGAAGTAATGGTTTTTGTTGTCTGCACTGACTGCTAGGAAAACAAAAAATGAACATTTTTAGCAAGTGATAATAAAGCTATTTCATAGTATTATATCTATAAATAAATATTCATTCATCACCATTATACACCAGAGTCCTCTACTGTTAATGCTAAACTTAGACCAGAGATTGCAAAAAGAGACTTAGCTAACATGGTATAAAAGCTGCCTTACAACAGGCTACTTACAGTGTAACCCAAAGATAAGCAAGGAACATCCCGATTACCTGAAGGTGCAGATACCGCCTGGGACAAACATGATTATCTCCTTTATATGCCAAGTTATAATGATGTTAACGGTGGGTTTCTGACACCTGTCTTCAGTCAGAACAAAACCTCAGCTCCATGAGCGCTCCCAGTAAATGGAACAGCACCTGGGCCACAACAAACCATGGAACCTGGCCCACAACAAACTGGCAGCCATCATGCAGCACTGGAATAGCAAACCATGAGGACAGAGACGCTGTGATCCACACATCTTTCTGATTTCCTTGCACAGTAGCCTCTATCACAATAGGAGGGAGCAGAAGCCACAGTCCATCAGAGCTCCAACAAGCAGGGCTGGACCACTGCATTCTGCTAATGTTTCAGCAAGATAGAATCTCTCTGTCCCTTGAAAGGAAAAAATGCTGGCTTCAACTTTAAATGAGGAAATTGAGGCATTATTTCACTATGTTGATGCTGTGGGAGTATGGAGAGGGCTATAGTACAGAAAGCCCTGCAAGACAGACAAGGCTGAGATCTTCCCTGACAGAAAAAGGAGGCAGGAAGCCCATCAAACCTGTCTATTAGCAAACGTACCAGGAACACAGGAAAACCTCACAAGAAGGGCTTTCTTTGCCTGAGAAACAACCTCAAGCAGGACATCAGGCAGAGCTTACAAAGGAAGGAAAAATGGCTGTACAAATCAGAGTTAAATCTTAGAGATCAAGAAGTATAAAGATCAAACAGGTCTCAGCAAATTCTTCCCTTAGGCATGAAAAGCTACCTACAAATTACAAGCAAAGAAGTGAGATCACCTGGTACTGCTGCTGCTAAAACCAGCAAACTTGTCCAGGTATGGCCTGAAAACCACCCTATTGCTTTGTCACAGCTTTCAATATGGACGAAGAACCCAAAAAGTTCAGAATTTTAAAGGAATTGGCACATGAAATCTCACACCCGCAACAAGGCTTTTAAATAAGGCAGACAAAATAGGGTCGGGGCAAAGACCACCAAAGAGGGCCCTTGCTCTTCTTACAGGCGCTGGTTCTCAGTAGTGCCCCCAGACTACCCTGATGGAGAGCTGCCAGCAAGGAAGTGAGAAAACAGCACAAGTCACCTGCACTGCGCCACACGGTGACAGTGCTCACAGGGCTGAGACAGGCTGAGAACTGCTGGGGCAGGGGAAAACACCAAGTGAGCATCACTGCTCCGAGACAGAGGTGATAAAACCTGCAACTGGATGGAAGAAAGGGGCCATAAAGAGCTGCAAGAGCCTAGAGGGTAGCTTGTAAGGAGCCAAGGTGGAGAAAAGCATGAGGATCCTGACCCAGTGCTGTCCAGGAATCAGGCAGAAACCCAGGAGCCACACCAGGAGATGCTCAAGGTCTCTGCAGGTAACACTTTATTGTAGCTTTGCCTACTGGTAGCTGGTGTTGAGTTGCTCTGACATATCCTGGTGAGCCTGATGATCACAACCAGCTGTTTTGTGCCTGGTAACATGATTTGTCCCTCCCTTGAAGCCTCACCAGGCTCATGGGAGACACATCTGCCCTTGTCTGGTGACCACAGCACCAAGCTGCGGATGGGAAGCATCACACCAGAGAGATGTTATGAGTTGAGCTCCCTCCAGGCTTCATTTTGCCTGCTCATGGTTAATACTGCTAGTGATTGCCTTGATACAGACAATAGCGATGTGTGAACAATATCTGAGGATGATGCAAAGTGAAGTGTTTTCTGTACAGTGGTGAAACTATCACAACCCAGGAGCTTGGTGACTTTGAAAACTTAAGTACTAACAAGGACCGTGACATGAAAATGACAGTGGTTGGGGATCAGCAAGCTGGGCATACTAAGTCAGTAAGTAATTTATAAGCTTCCACCAACAAGCAGCCTAAGAAAGGCAAAATCAGTCCCTGGAAATGCAAGAGAAGCATTTAAACCAAGCTCTATACTCACTACACTCTAATAACAAGGAATTAATCTCAAAGGCTGGTTTGTAATGCACAGACAGACAATGCAGAAACACTTTTGAAGCTGCTTTAAGACAACCTGGAAAGTGGGAAGGGGAAATGCGCTTGCCCAAGACAGCAGTTCAGGGTACTGCAACCACGGAGCAGTCACAACATCAGCAGGTACAGGGGAACAGTGCCATGTATTCTCAGCATTGCTGGTGGAACAGAACTATGGAACATGAGAGAATTACTGTGATTCAGACTGAGCACCTGTTATAAGAATCACAAAACTGGCTGGAAACCACAGCACTCACTGCTCTGTGAATGGGACTGTGGGCCCATTCAGGTGGCAGTCCCACATCGGCTCCAGCAGCAGCAGTGGTCTAGAAGGCAGAGAGAAGACCTCAGGATGCTTTGAACCCCCCAGTAGGTCCCCTACAAGAAATGTGCACAGCCTGTTGGCCAAGGAAAGTCAGCGGGCATTGCCCAGTGAGGTATCAGGCACAGAAGTAATTCAAACAAAAACCCCACAACCATTGCCAGAGGAATGCCACCCTGACTCTGGAGTGGGAGAGGAGAATTTTGTGCTTGCCCCTCCCAACATCAGCAGTTCAGCATGGCAGCCAGCACACTGGGTACCTCAAACACTCTGTGGTAAGAGTCTGTAAGCAGGAAAAAGATGGATTACACATCTATGCAGAGCGAACAGAAAATCTGAGAATGATTTTGTAAGGCTTTGTCACCAAGAGACAAATCTAGAGGGAACCAAACCTCATCAGTTCCACTGCTCATGGAGATGCATTTGCTTTCCTTCATTTCCCCTTTGTCACAGATCACTTTCTTCTTATTTCCTTTGCCGAGATTCATTATCCCCTCACTGGTGCTGTTGCTCTGAAGGGGAGAACAGGCTGATCTAAAGTGTCCCTGCCCGCCTGCCTCCAAAATGGGTTTGATTTGTGATGTA